GTGATGGTGTGTAGAACAGTGTTCTGTATCACTACAGGAACAGTGATGGTGTGTAGAACAGTGATGGTGTGTAGAACAGTGTTCTGTATCACTACAGGAACAGTGATGGTGTGTAGAACAGTGATGGTGTGTAGAACAGTGTTCTGTATCACTACAGGAACAGTGATGGTGTGTAGAACAGTGATGGTGTGTAGAACAGTGTTCTGTATCACTACAGGAACAGTGATGGTGTGTAGAACAGTGTTCTGTATCACTACAGGAACAGTGATGTTGTGTAGAACAGTGATGTTGTGTAGAACAGTGATGGTGTGTAGAACAGTGTTCTGTATCACTACAGGAACAGTGATGTTGTGTAGAACAGTGATGGTGTGTAGAACAGTGATGGTGTGTAGAACAGTGATGGTGTGTAGAACAGTGGTGGTGTGTAGAACAGTGATGGTGTGTAGAACAGTGATGGTGTGTAGAACAGTGTTCTGTATCACTACAGGAACAGTGATGTGAGCTTCAAAGGTCAGATGTACCTTTGAGGACTGAGGATCTGAGCAGAGGCTGCTGGACCTCCACCTCCTCCTCCAAATCCTCCACCTCCTCCTCCTCCATCGTCAGTCAGCTGCACTCCCAGCCCACTCACATTCAATCCTCCTCCTCTCTTTGCAAACAATAACTCGCTAAATGACATAAAAGCTGTTGAAAGTTCTACATTTAGCTCAACAAATAAGCCTGTTTGTTTCACAGCAGTGTCTTTGTGTCCGGAGCTGATGCTGCAGGCTGAAGACTTAACGCAAGCTAATTAATTAGCCTTTATCGGTGTACACAAGCTAGTAAAACGCGGAGAAAAAGCCTTAATTACCGTTTTCCTGTCGTTTGAAACCGGAGCAGTATTTACAGTTTCTGACATCCTGTCGTCATCTTCTCCAACCCGCTGGTTTGTCGCGGACATTCCGTGGAGCGGTGTCTTCTTCCAGCCACATCATCCGGCTTCAGCTAGCCTAGCCTAGCTTCACTGCAGCTCGACTTGTTACCGTGTGGGTCCGGCTGGGTCACGTGACTACAGGCACAGACACATGGACCTGCCGGGCGCCTCCGCACAAAACAATGTTCACCAGACGGGAGTTCGTGCCTCCATCTTGAAAAGTGGAGCGATGTCAGCATCGGTCTTTATGGAAGCCCAATTCCGCCACCCTGATAAAAAAATAAATAAAACTTGTATCTCATAATTATGACTTAGCTATCTCATAATTATGAGATAGTATCTCATAATCTAATTATAATCTAATTATGAGATAGTATCTCATAATTATGAGATAGTATCTCATAATAATGATAGTATCTCATAATTATGAGATAGTATCTCATAATAATGAGATAGTATCTCATAATTAAGACTTAGCTATGTCATAATAATGAGATAGCTAAATCATAATTATGAGATACAAGTTTTATTTTTTATCAGGGTGGCAGAAATGGGCTTCCATAGATTCCTGCCAGGACAGGCCATAAATATTTCAGAGTAAAACAAATCAACTGTGAGAACGAGTCCAACGTTTTCTCATTAGTTGCTGACGGTGAACTTTTGAGTTGATGGTTGATTTTATTTTGCGAGTAGGGGCAGATATTATAAGTTTATACTTCTTTCTGCTCCTTTTCATTCATGACTATTTTATTTAGTTTTGTTTCCCTTGATATTTTGATTTTATATACATCGTTGTTGTTGTTTTTTTTTATTGGATGACTCGTTTTGTATTCATATTAATTGAAATAAACAAAAAAGTTCTATTATTAGAACCAGCAATTCAAAAAATGTTATATTAGATTTTGTCCTTGAGTATTATGTGATTTTTCTTCACAGCTAAATAATTGAAAACATGATATTTTCAGTTTTTTTCTTACTTGTCCTTTTTATATTCTAACTCTCAAATGATTAAAATTTTTAAATACTCCATTGGAGAAATCTTGTAAATACACGCATGTTCACAACTGCTCACAGACAGGTGTTCTGATCCGGGGGTTCTGACTGGTCACTGAGTGTGTATATATGTCTGTGTGTATATACTGACAATATTTATGAATGAAGGCATGTATGTATGTATATCTTTATATATGTATGGGTATCTTTCTAATTACTTCTCTCTCTGTTTTTCTCTCTGACTCTATTTTCTCTTCACTTAAAAAAGTCACTGATGATAAAGAGATAAATAAACTAAATAAACTAATATTTGGTTTTGTTTTCTACTGAAGTAACGCACACAAAAAAAGAGAACAACTTCTCATTTACAAACATGATCTGGCATGAACTGAGTGCGTTGCAACATACATATTCAGCCATAGTAAAGTGATTGTAAATTTTAATAGCGATTAAAATTTTTAATCTATGCCCATGCAGCACTAAAATTAATCAGAGTTAGCTCAATTAATTTCACAGCCCTAATTCTAACTGAGCACATCTCGTAAATAAATAACCAAATCGTGCTAATATTTTAAATGAGACACTTGTGTAATAAGTAGGTCAATTCATACTCTCCCATTTATGTTGTAGCAGTAAGGTGGACCTGTTCTTCAGGATCTAAAGTCAGTGCGCCCTGAGAGACTCTTGATTGTTTTAAATATATGAACTGCACAGAATACACACCTGAACATCTGATCAACATGAACACAATGTTTACACTTTCTTCTAAAACATGATTTACGCTACAACAAATTCTCTTCATTCGATAGTGAAATACTTTGAAATGTGATAAATTAGTGCCAGTGAACTTTATGTGTGCATTTTTTCCTGATCAGAGAATCAGTTAAATGGTTGAGTAAACTTTATTTGTTTCACAGTAGATTGTGATTTCTGAAATGTTTTCATATCCCCCTCCATCTTTCATGCTAGTGTTTTAAACTAACATCACTTTAAGTTGAGAGATAAAGGGCTTGTTGTCATTTCAGTTCAGACATAATCTCACATAATTTCCTGTTTAAAGTCTGTATTCTCAGCTACTATCGCATCAGATTTTAGTTGACAGTTGAAGCCATTTATATTGACTGCAAAGTTGTCAGTTCTTGATGCAATGACTTCCTTTCAGAAGTTTTCATCAATCTGTGATCTGTGTTGTACACCTGTTACTGTTAGAGCTGAAACAAAATGATTAAATGTTTTAAACATTATTAAACCTCCAGTAGTTGACAGATCTTCTGCTGCCATCTTGTGGAATGCTTTCTTTGCTCACGCTGATGAGTTTTATTCTACATGATCGGTGCTCTAAATTTCCTGCTGCCCACATGAAATATTTCTGTTTCGTTTTATTTTTTGGGGCCACAAACAGGAAGTGTCCTGATACATCTCAATAAACCAGAGACAAATCTAAAAGAAGATCAATAGGTCCTCTGGGTAGGCCCTTCTTTGTTGAAAAAATGTTTTGTCTCTCCTCCAAGAGACTTTTTTTTACCACTTCAGTAGAAAACAAAACCAAATATTAGTTTCTTAATTTCTGCATCATCAGTGGCTTTTTTATACTATAGTAAAGAAGAAAAAGAAAAAGTAGAAGAGAAATATAAGAACAGTAAAGAGAGAAACCGATACAAATTATACAACATGTGAAATGAACACCAATAACACACAGGACACATCACCTAACATCTGACCATCAAAGAGAGCAGACACCCAGCAACCAAACTTAAACAGATGTACGTATGTACATATACCCATACACACATATATAAATAAATACACACACATATATGCACATGCACACCTACATACAATAATTATAACCTCGTTAATTAATAAACACAAAACACACACACCTATACATGCAATCAGGCACATACATATACAAACACACAAATACACACATTTTTACATACATACATATACAGTATACCTACATACACACACACACACACAC